GGCAGAGCAACTGATGGGCAGTGTTGCCAGAACTTTTTGGGCCGACCGGCTAGATTGACAAAAAAAAGCGGCTAAAAACGGCTAAAATGTTTTAGTGAAATTTCACATAGACTCTGGCAAAAAACGGCTAAAATGTTTTAGTGAAAATTCACATGCTTTATTTAAATAAATCGCAAGAAACGGAAGACTAGTTAACACCATTAATTTATATCGAGTGTATATTCCTCATCATCAAATGAATCGCTATTGTATATATCACCTGAATTCATTAATTTTAAGAGATCGTCATCTACAGTAAAATTATGGCAGCATTTTTCTTCACGTTTTAAACCGTATCTTATATATAAAATAGCGTGTAACGTTTTAACGCACATTGGATTTCTTTGCTTAGTTTTTATTATATTCATTGAACTAAATATTCGCTCTACTTCTGCATTACTTATAGGCAAAACAAGAAAACTAAAAACTAGGTTGGAAAGGTCAGCAAAAGGGTTTTCTCCTAGGGCATTTCGAAATTGATAAACTTCGGCCCAAAATTTTACAGTTGAGTCTAAATTACTCCAGGTATGTAACGTTAACCGTTGCCATTGCATCTCTATGGATGTTATTTCGTCGGACGGTAAATACTGTATATACATACCCGTGCTTACATACACACATTCATATAACAACCCATTCCGCCTAACAATTTGTTGGTATAGCATCAACGGTTAGCCCAACTTGTACCAATTTAAAAGAAATTTTCCAATACAAGAGGTATTTGAAAAACTCGGCTTCACATTGGCAGATACCCAATTCCACAAACCCAGACCCGTGGATATATTAATTGGTAGTGATCTTTACCCTAAAAATATACTCGGTGGAGTTAAACGAGATATTTTAGGTTCACTCTTAGCCCAAGAGACAGAATTTGGATGGATTTTATCTGGTCCTGTACCCAGACCGTCTCAATCATCAAACTTAGTTTAATTTTACAATAAAATGACCCCAGATAATCTACTCACTCGTTTTTGGGAGGTGGAAGAAGTTCCCAGAAAACCCTTGGCCTCTCCATCAGATATTCTCTGCGAAGAAAACTACCAAAGAACGACACGTAGAAACCCAAATGGACGCTATGTAGTAACTCTACCCTTCAAGGACCCCGAAAACATCGACATTGGAAGTTCAAGACACATACCGCTAGCACAATACCTTAGAAATGAAAAGTCTTTACTTAGAAAACCTGAGGTAAAAGCGGAATATGACAAGGCAATTACCGAATATTTGGAACTCTGTCACATGAAGAAGGTCGAATATAATCCCGCGGATAAAACGACCCCATATTACTTACCACATCATGCGGTCATTAAACCTGATCGCATCACAACAAAACTTCGCGTGGTATTTAATGCTTCGAACCCCACTTCGAATCGAAAGAGCCTTAATGACGTTCTACACATTGGACCCACCTTACAAAAAGACTTAGTCATTCTAATTGTAAAATGGAGACTCTTTCGATTTGTTTTCAACGCGGATATTCAAAAAATGTACCGACAAATCCTCGTAGACCCAAAACACACCCCGTTCCAAAGAATCCTCTTTAGAAAATCCATTGAGGACCCAATAGAAGACTTTGAGCTTCAAACGGTTACATTTGGTATAAAGTGCGCCCCTTACTTAGCAATCCGAACTCTTCTAAAGCTAGCCGATGATGTCCAAGAAACCCACCCATTAGCATCTAACATTTTACGAAATGAAATGTATGTGGACGACGTCTTAACAGGAACCCATGAGCTATCAACTGCTAAACAAGCACGAGATGAACTCACTTCTGCTTTAGAGTCCGCGGGATTCGCCTTACGAAAATGGACCTCCAATGACCCAGAAATATTAGCAGAGTTGCCCCAAGGACATCGACTCGATACCGAGTTACTCAACTTACCCGAGTTCGACAACACCAAAACCCTAGGTATTCGTTGGAACTCCAAGATAAATTCATTCTTTTTTCTCGTCAACCCAATCGAGAAGAAACCCGCATACACAAAAAAGGGAAATTTTATCAACCATAGCTAAATTGTTTGATCCCGCCGGCTGGCTCAGCCCAATAATAATAACGGCAAAAATTATTATGCAACAAGTATGGCTTGATAAATCTGACTGGGACGAAAGTCTTAAGCCACTTACCCTTCATCGATGGCTTAGTTTCGTAAAGGAGTACGAAACGTTAAACAAGATTGAAATACCCAGATGGACCCACTTCACTCCATCAACCACCATTGAATTCCATGGATTTTCTGATGCCTCCGAGAAAGCTTATGCAGCAACTCTCTATATTCGAGTTAAAATGGAAACCAAAGTATGGACCACCATGTTAGTTTCGAAGNTCGACTCGATACCGAGTTACTCAACTTACCCGAGTTCGACAACACCAAAACCCTAGGTATTCGTTGGAACTCCA